TATATAATCCTTATTTTCAAATATTATCAAAAAAATTTTTGTTTAAATATATTAATTTTATAAAAATATAGATCATAAGTATTGTTACATAAATTTTCCAAGCAAATTTGCCTAGAATAGCCTACAGATTAAAGGATAGCTTTAATATTTTTAATATTTGCATTATTATTTTTGGATTACTACTTCAACATCATATCTAGTAGTTTATAAAGTCAACTCTACATATTATTTTTTAAGTATTCATATAAAATAAAACTAATTTGATTCTTTTAATATGAGAAAAAAATAAAATTAAACAGTCTTTCTCCTCTTTTTAAACTTTTTCATAACATATTTCTATTCTATGTTTTAATGTTTGAAATAAATGAACTATATGCTATGAACAAAATTTCTAGAAAAAAAATACTTCAATAGCTACCTTTCTGACATTAATTTAGAGTTTTTTTTATATTCATATTTGAACTTTGCTGATTTATACTATGAAGCAACGAAATGTGTGTTTTGTTTATAAATGAATAGTATTAACAGTGCAGTGTTTATCAAACTTACTTTTTCTTTTGTATTTGATATAAAAAGCAAAAACTTCGATTGAACCGTATTAGTCATCAACTAGATTCGTGACATCAACGGTTAAATTTTAGTATTATAGATATGATATATTGAAATTACTACATAGTGACAATTTTAAAAATTTTAGAAAAATAATTTTTTTTTTTGATTTCCTAATTTATCGGTTACAATGTAGATTTATATAATAACTTATTGTTAGATGTCGCTTCTTTATATTCCTTGATTAAATTAGAAATTGGTTTAAACTTTTCATTTTTAGCATCACCAAGGAGTTGAAACAAAATTGATTCAGAAGTTGTGACTGATGCTCCTGCTTGTCGAATACGCTAAACGAAACGTAATATATATCAATTTTCTATATCAAAAATACTTTTAAAAAATATATATCAAAATTCACCTGCAATGCAATTTCGATTTCTGGATGATTTATCGATGAAACTCCATCTGCCAAAACATGAACATCATAACCATTTTCCAATAAATCTAGTGTTGTCTGAAGCACACATACGTGTGCCTATAATTTTAAATAATGAAAAAAAAAAAAAACACCTCATTAAAAAAAATACTTTTTTTTTTTTTTTGAATTTATAAATTTTACAAACTTATAAAAATTTAATAAATTTATATACAATTACCTCAATTCCAAATAGCACCACTGATTTTATCTCTCGATCTTTTAATATACCTTGAACTTTTTCTTCGTACATTGAAAATTTGACCTTTTTAACTACTTCTACTGCGCTAGTAATATCAAGTTCTTGAACTGTAGATCCAAGAGCTTTTGTTTTATAGTAAAATTATATTTATTAAGTTACGATGATTCTAATTAAATTAATATATATTAAAAACGTAATACCTCCAGGATTCTGTTGAAAAAAAAAAAGAATTTGTCAAAAATATTCAAATTTAAATAAGGCCACACAAAGTTAATTTCTTGGTTTTCTTTACATAAAATTTTAAGTGACCCGACAGCTCAGCTTTTTATAAAAAATTTCATATGATTTTTTTTTTTTTTTTTAGAGAAAATATAAAAAACATGAAATTTTTTAAAAATTTTTTTAAAAAATTGACCGGAGATTTTTATAATAAATTACATATGAAAATTTTTTTTAAAGGTCTACAAATTTTGACCTGGCCGGGTTATGTAAACCAAAAAAATTTTTTTGTATGGCCTAATTTAAATGATTATAGTGAAAATTTTTTACAAACCTGTTCTGTGACAACTAAAGGTATCTCCAAGATTTTGGATGCTGCAATCTTAAAACATGAAATAATTTTATTTAGTATTAAAATTTGCTTTTTTTCGAACACCATTATTTCATTTTTAATTTTATCCAATTACCATTTTTTGAGCGGTCGAAACTACACTCAAAAATTGATGAATGTGAGATCGAAATTTTTCCTGAACATCACAAAGGAAAAATGTGGTTGTTTGTGGTCTAACTCTCATAATATTACGAAGGCTTGCCATTTCCTACTTTTGACGGCTAAAATTTTGTTTGATTTAAAATTTTGCTTATTAATATTAATTATTATATCATGTGATGATTTAGCTGTCCAATCAATTCGTAGTAAAAATATTGCCGCTCCAGTTTAGCAATAAGGTTGGTTTATCTTTCTGTTCTAGATTCATAATATGGTTTAATGTTCTTCCAAAGCTTGTTTTTAATTTACAATTTTGGCCTTAACGTAATTTTTTATGATAGCTTTAAATTCGATGTTCTCAGCCTCAAGATCAATCAATGGCTCGTTGTCTTAACCAAATTCGGTTAAGCCTTTAGACTCGTCTCTTTGAAATTGCATGTTTATTAATTTATATAACTTGAAGAAATTGTTCGTAGACATGGAGTACCTCAAGTAATATTCTCAGACAATGGAAAGAATTTTTCTAGTGAAATAGTTAAAATATTTTGTGAAAAGTTTTTATAACTAAAGCCACACATTTCGAAAATGTTTTTTGTTAGTTTAATACTTTTTTTAATAATTTAATTAAAGTTGTCTTTATAAAAAGGTCATGTGCGGACAATATGTCACGCCCAATTACTTTCGTCAAGAAAAATTTTAATTATATTCGTTGGTTAGTATACGTATAGTACATTGATATTTATATAAACATATCCAAAAGTAACATGATTGTTTATGCGAAATTAGCCACCAAGGCCAACTTTATTGATATGATAAAAAACAAAAATAAATACAGGATAAGTAAAGTTTAATACAAGTAAAGATTGATATGATAACAAAAATAAAAATAAATCCAGGATTAAGTAAAGGCTGATGTAATAAAAAACAAAAATACTGTAAATACAAGATAAATAAAGATTATTCGAAGTCTACAGTTGTACTGTCTTCTTTTTACCGGTTTGATATAGTTATCAATGCATGATATGATAGTATCTATGTACAGTATATTAACCTTATCTCGAACAAGAACGTTCAGATGAAGTATATTCACTGCTACTTGTATATCTACAATACCAAACTGTTCTTTAGCAGGATTAAGACTTTGGCGTACCCAATAAAGACCATCATTTGCCTCCCGCTACAATTTTATCTCATCATCTGTCTTTTTTTGTGAACTACAAAATAATCGGGAGCACTCAGACATATATAAGTTCAAAATCGTTCCAAGGTAATTTCCTATAAACATTATATCAGGACGTCTGCTCTTGTTCCTTTTCTATTTGCACTAGTGATGTACTAATAAAAAATGAGTTTACAATAGGAAGGTTTTTAAAGTAGCTCGAATTATTGTCACAATAACGGTTGATTGGTACGTTCCCTCATTTAATGTCCTTGCAATTTCAGAATTAAATACTGGATTATTCCGAATATCTTTTAAGGCATTTAAGATTTCTTTAACAACACATGAACTACTTTCTTCGGTCTCTTTCCAAGATTTATCATGTGTTCTAAAACCTTCCACAAATTCTTTACATATCTTTTGAACTATGGGCCTGAGATCGGGAACCATATTACGAGCAATTTTCTAATAATATGAAATATACATTAATAGCAGTGACGAAAATACAAATACTCATGAAATTTTTTAAAATTTTTTTTTTACCATAAATCCTTTTTTTAAGCTTCCAGATAATTTTTTGATAGATTTATCATTTACGGCAGAGTATAAATTTTGATAAAGAAGACTCACATCTTTATTAAGTTTGTCTTTCAGTATTTCAATTATTCTTAATCTGAACTAAGTTAAGGGGTTTCTCTTTATTTGGTTTAAAAACCCCAAGATCTCGCAAACATCAAAAGCAATTTCGAACTAAAAATGAAAAATATAATGTATTAATTTATTATAAATATTTTAACTTGAGCACTTATAGCTAAAAAAAACAAACAAATAATTACTATCTTGAAAAAAAATAATAATAATAATATTTATTTTCAATAATATTTGTTCTAAAAATAATTTAAATTTATATAATATCAGATATTTGTAAACTATTTGCTAAATACTTTATTAAATAAATAACCATATCTGCTATTCTGTAATCCCACCTATATACCTACAGTATTATTATTAATAGAAATATATTGTACTATTTCATATTAGTTTTTGAGTAATTTAGATGGGACAGAACAAGTGGAGAAAATTAATCATCTTTATTACTCAAAAAACTGTGTTTAGATCTGATCTCTTGAATTTCCTATCCGAATTACCCGGATAATACCAGATAACAGATTAATGTTTTCATTTAAAGATAGTTTATTAGGATAATGTATGGTAATTCGGATAATTATTCAGATAATCTATACTAAAGACATTATCAGATATGAACGTTTGTCCACTTTCTGTAAATAAGATCTTCGGAAAATCAATTTTTACTGTATATCGATATTATAAATTTTATAAAATACAATACTACTTTTATACCTTAACTGTTAAGTAAAAAAATGATTCTGATATTAAAAAATTTGTCATTTTCGCAGAACCTGGCCCATGTAATGAAATTCAAACACTATCTGGTATAGACCCGAATATAATATAGATAATTCGGATAATTTATCCGGATGAACCATATATACTGTATATCGGATAATGTGTGCTTATTCAACAGATAATTAAGATAAACAGATTATCCGGATCCGAACACTACAAAAAACTAAGAAAACTTGTATGATATACTTCTATTAGCAATAATTATACCTTGTATTAACCAAAGACTACTTGCTTCACGTATAAAATTTTTAGTAATTACGTACATAATATTCAGCATTTCCCTTTTACCTCTATACCAGATCCGTTAATGCAGTAACACTCGCAGTTTTATAGAATTTACCGCGGATTTCACTCTGTTTGGTTGCATTCATAAAGTACAACTAAAGTAAATTTACCAAATCAAAATACTATCCCTTAAACCGTCTAGCGTTCAAATTTAGATGCTAAAATGATTTTTGATCTATTTTTGTTAAGCTAACGCTAAAATAAAAGCATATCACGTTCTAATTATCGTATAATTCTTATTTCATAGAATTTTTTGTCAATACTCAAAAATCAATTATTTAGTTTCGACCGTAATAGGATCTTCGTGTCAAAAATTTAAGGTTAATACTAAAAAAGGAACTTTAACGTGATACTTATAAAGATCTTTCAAATCGTCACGTAGAACCCTTTTCATTTAAAGTTGATCAAAAATTCTTCATAATCAATTTTATATAAGAGAGTTATCAGTGTGATGCATCGCTAGTCTATGACCGACCAATCAGAATTTAAGATCAGGTGTAATTATGAAACTACTTTCTGCGTTCTAACAAAAAAATTCCTTGTAAAATTTTGGGTTAAAAACGTTTTCGCTATTGCACATCGTTAACCCTAACCCTAATGTAACCTTGGTCCTAACCCAAAACTTAATGCGTTGTTTTTTTTATCGTTTTGATTTCACTGATTGGTCGGTCATATGACTAGCGATGCATCGCACTGGCGATGAATGATAATTATCTTTATAGAATTGATTTTTAAAGTGATGCTAAAGAGATAGAGTGACTCAAAATTATAGGTAAAGTGGCTTATTTTTAGCCATCGTGTAAATTTGTACCTTCTATTCAGGTCACACGGAGTATTCCACACCGTAGTTGAAAGTGTGCCATGTGACTCGGGTCTTGGATAATCGTCAAAACCAATTATAATAATTATAATGAAAAAAATTTTACAAAATATTTTAGCGTACAAATTTGTACGCTAAACTGGACGGTTTAAGGGATACGTACTGTGTTTCAACCCTACAAAAAGCAAACAAAAAAAAAATTTAATACGTAGCATTAGTGCGACATAACATTAATTTCACATTTTAAAATGGGTTACGAATAATGTTCATGCATTTAGATTCAAAAGAAAAAAAAAAAAAAAAAATTATACAAAGGTCTTTAGAATGAATTTAAAGTTAAAATAAATGCAAATTCCAATAATAAAATAAAATAAATAAAATAAAAATTTTATTGCAATTAATAAATAAATAAGCCAAGCTTATTAATAAAATTTATCAGTATATATAATATCAAGCAATGTCTTTCATGGTTGGTTATACTAATACATTATGGGAAACAAAAATGATTAATTCAAACACTTTAATAAAAACAAAACCCTAATTTTTACGTACAGTATAAGTGATAAATATTTTATGAACCTCTTCTGTGATAGTTTTTCTAAATTGATGAAAAAGTCCATTCTTTACATAAATAAACTCCGTATTACGTAAAATTTCAGTTGTCCTACTGACAATCAAATATATATTTCCAAATATTAATTTCATTCTTCATCTTTCTTTCGTTTCGATTTTTAAAAAATTTAATTTAATTTATAAAAAAAAAAGAAATCTATTTCATGGAAAAAGTTGTTGGAAGTGTGCCGACTGTAATTACAAACACGATAGAAATTACAGAAGGTTTAACTGCATTTAGTTCTAATAATGATATAGCAAAGAATGCTATAAGCGCAGTTGGTTCTGTTGGAGAGGCTGTAAAACCTTTTATACCTTTAATTACTGCAATAACTGTAGTGATTTCTGAAATTATAGTTATTTATGAAAATGCTCAATATAATAAAAGAATTTGTAATTCGTTAATGGATCGAGTGGGTGCTGCTGAACAAGCTGTTAAATCATTACAAAGAAGACAAGCTGAAAATGAAAAACATTTTAGAAATTCTGAATATTATAAAAATTTTGTACGATTCGTTGATGTTATGAAAAGAATTAAAGGTTTTATTAAGGATGTATCAGAATTACAAGGGTTTAAAAAATTCTTTCATGCAAATTCAATTAAAGAAAAATTTGATAGTCTTGTTAAAGAATTTGAGAATGTGATGGCAGAATTACATTTTACAATTACAGTTGCTGATGAAGAACAAAGGAGACTTGACCATCAGGCTCTTGAACAAGATATTCATGATATGACAAAGGTAATATTTCATATTTAATGATTCAATTTTATGTTAATTTTTTTTTTTTTTTTTTTAATGCTAATCTTTTTCATATTATATTCAAGTTTTTGGAACAAATTCAAGGTGGTATAGTCGATAGTACTAATACAATCAACACTGTTTTACAAGAAGTGTTGATAATGAAAGGTCAAATAGATAGTATAACAGATATTTCAAAAGTTAATTTACCAAATAGCGGAAGTATCAAAGCAGTTGAAATAAATCCGGATGAATTATTAGATCCTGATGTTAAAACTGATACAGACCGTAGAGGCAATAAACCAAATTATATTTATAAGAAAAATTTTAAATTTCAAGAAGTTGCTTGTAAACCAATAATTATTCCAAATGATGACTCTGCTAAAAGTTCAAGAGTACAAGCACATCTAGCCATATTGGGAAAGTTGCGAGATTCTCCAAATATTCTTAAATTTTATGGTCTTTCATCCCTTGATGGCAGTAGGGTTATGGTTAATGAATGGGCTGAAATGGGTACATTAAGAGAAGTATATGACAAATATGACATTGCGTGGACCGCAAAAGTACACATAGCTACTGACATTTGTCGTGGTATTACATTCTTGCATTCTTGTTCTATCCTTCATCATGACATTCGATGTGAAAATATATTGGTAAATGTTACTTATCATCTAAATAAAATAATTTATAAATTTTTTTTAATTTATAATTTAAATAATTTATAAATAGATGACACGAAACCTTGAACCTAAATTAACTAAATTTGAATATTCACGTTTTAACGCTGCTACTACTACAAATATGTCAGCTATAACTGAGGTTGTGCATTGGATGGCACCTGAAAAATTACGACAAACTAGAGATCAAAAACAAGCACCATATACTTTTAAATGTGAAATATTCAGGTAAGCTTATGATTTATAATTACATTATCAATTATATCAATTTCATTTATTACATTTTATGTTAAATATGTAGTTTTGGAATGACACTTTGGGAACTTGCCTTTGAGAAAGTTCCATATGAACATTGGGATATGAATACAATAAAGAATCATGTGGTGCAGGGCAAGAGAGAGAAAATCAATTTCGGGGCCGCTTCACCGGAGATTCAAGAAATTCAGCAAGAGTTAAAATCAATAATCATTTCAGGTATAATATTGAATTATTATTAGTTATTATTATTATTTTTATTATTTCTAAAATTAATTATTTTCAAATTAAGCCTGGCAAGATGATCCAGGACTTCGAGCGTCACTTCAACAAATTTTCTTGCAACTTTCTAAATTAGCCAGCAAAAATAAAAAGACAATGTCTTCTCCATCACTTCTTCCTTCAAAGAGTATAGATTTGGATGGAACATTGCAAAAACCTATTTCTGTTAGTGATGAAGGTGGTTTAGAGCTACCAGATCTGGACGGTGATTTTGATATTGACTCAATTGATCCAGTAATGCCTCTCGAAGAGGGTATTGCAGCACACAAAAAAAAAGAAGCACGAACTGCATGGGAATGTTTTGAAGCCAATGCTGAGCTTGGTAATACCGCTGCAAAATATTGGATGGGTTATTACTTATGGGAAGGGTGTTTAGATGGAATTAAAGATCGCAAACGAGCAAGTGAACTTTTTAAAGAAGCTGCAGATGACGGTATTTCTGACGCACAGTTACGATATGCATTTTCTATGGTTAATAATCCTCCAATAAAGTTTGATCGTAAAGTATTTCTTGAATATTTGAACAAAGCTGCCAATAACAATAACCCTACAGCGCAATTCAATTTGGGTGATATGTATTTGAATGGTAAACTTAAAGTAGAAAAAAATCCAAAATTAGGTATAAAATATTTAAAATTGGCTGCTCTTAATAATCAACCAAAGGCTGTTGAAATCTTAAACAAGTTGAACATTAACATCTATGCTGATGAACAAAATGAATAAATTATTATTATTATTATTATTGATTATTATTATTTGTAAGTATTAATAGTTTAATAAATATTTTTATTTTTATATACTAAATATTTATTGACAAGTTTTTTTTTTCAAATATCTCCGTTAAACAATTTGTAAAACAAGATGTTTATTGTTTCGTTTTGGGACAAACTCTGTCATTATTTATTATCATTCATATTTTATATATTGTATATTTATTGATCATCTCATTTATTCTGGCACGTAATATTGATTCTTTAATTATTCAATTTTATATAGTATTTACTTGAAATTCGTTTTGTTCTAGAAAACCAATAGAATCTTTTTTTATTAGAATAACTTTCTTGAATAAACAGATTTTAAGTTTTTATTATAATGTAGTAAATTTTAATTTATTATATTAATTAACAATCAAAAAATAAAATTTATGGGATTTACAGTATAATTTGTAACTTTAGTTATTGTAACTGTAATCTGTAAAGCTAATCAAATTACAGGAACATGCTAGTTTTCTTGCTAATAACTCAAAATTTTACTTATGAATTTACCTTTGCTTTCTAAAAAGCAAAAATTTCTTGCAAAATTTTGGTATATACTATGCTCTGTCCTGATGTTACACACATAGCACACACGCGACACTAATTTCACGTGTGTCGTTAGGTATGCCCTAGTTTAATTTGGCAAATGAACACGTGACGCAAAGCGGCACGTGTTGCCAATCATTTGTCAAATTACCGTATCCAAAAATTTTGGTGTTATCCGGCAGTTTATGATCATAATTGGTAGGGAGTTGTCTGCTGTTGAATAAACATGATTACATCATAAAACATAAAAAAAATAACAGAAATAAAAATAAATTTAGCGTTAGCGATTTGGCAATTTATCAGTATCACTGAGACGGGACATATAGAGTCATTTTTCTAAATAAGTACCCTATCACAAATTCAGTCAATTAACTCATGGGGACCCCAAATAGCCGAAACTAGTTTGGGATTTGCCGTAACACAATCCCAAAATAGGAGTTTACGATAATGATAAAAAAGCATTAACGTTAATTTTATTATCAAAAGCATCAATTTTTTTATCGTTACGTATTAATTCTTTACGCATTTACATAGTTTTATACTACACTAAATTATATCTACACAAAAAAATGTAAATTTCCACGACGTATTACTAACATAATCAGAAACCTTCTCACAACGTAATGCAAGATGGCTTTCAATTACTTTTTGTTTGCCTCTTAACCATCTCTGCTCAGAATATACGCAAATTGCACTATGATGTCCATATTTATCAGCAATTGAACCCTTCGTAAAATACTCCTATACCGCAGCTTTTGGACCCACTTTTCTTTCGATATAATACTTGTTGATTATCTGTAGTATCGCTTGTCGAAGGTTTCATAATATCTTCAGAATCCATTTGATGATACAAGAAATATTTAAATTTTGAAAAATTCTTTATTATTTAAAAAAAAAGACATCAATTTATTTATTATTAATAATAAGTAGTCAAAATACATCATTATAAAAAGTATCACTATATTTATTACAGTAAAAACGTCTTATTAAAATTCTTTATTATTTAAAAAAAAAAAGACATCAATTTATTTATTATTATTAATAAGTAGTCATTTGAATCAGCGATCATATTATCGTTATAGTAAAAATTTTTATCATTGGGATTTTAGAAATGATCATCACACCAATTAAATTTCACACCAATTAAAATTAATTTCCAACATTCTTTGTCATGCTTCAACGCGTCTTGATTTTTTAATAAATATGTATACAGTAACTACACCAATTTCTACTTCAACCAGGACATTAGAAGAAGAAGATGCAAGCATCTTGGAAGAGCTGAGTCGAAAATATAGCACAGAACAACTTATTGAGTATTTGAAGGGACAAAAACAAGTCAAAGAAACAAATGAAATAATCATTAAACAGAAATTACTTAAGACGCATAACTTAGAGTTTTCAAATTGCATGTGTAGGAGCTAATTTATGTACCTGTTTTGTAGTATACTTATTAAAGTTTTCTTTATAATAGTGATCGAAAAAATTCGAAATTGGCAAGTTCCTTATGCAATATACTTCATGATCTTCCTCCCAGAGGATTGGTCATATGATCACTACGCTAGTTGGATAGATAAAAATATGAACAAGGCAATGATAAACAGTATATTTTACAGAACATTAGAAACCATGAAAAATGATCAAAATATTTCGCAGGGAATTCATAATGTTATTCAAGGACTTTTGAAAAGTAAAAAAGTAAGTTTTGAAGTATATTTCAAATAATTTTTTTTGGAGTGTAGTCAGGATGGTGACTTTTTGTCAGACTTCTCGTGCCCTTGATGATCTCGTCTCGGAAAGGGATATCCGCGAGTAGTTGAATTGGATGCGCATTTTGCTGACTTCGCCTTGGCATGTGCATAGGGATATAGTCAGGACCCCAAACAACTTTTTACAAATTATATCCACTTTTATTAAAGCTATTTAAAGAAAAAATTCTAACAAACCAAAAATTATTTTCTTATAACCCTAACACAATATTTAACTTTATTTTTGTATAAAAAAAAAAACTTTATATTTGTTGATCGGATAACTTATTAAGTTATCCGATCAACAAATATAACTTTTTTTTTTATCTCTCTCTTTTTATTTCACCATCAAAAATTTCAATATAACATCTATATATACAATATTATTCGGGATCCTGTGCGGTTTCCTGCATCTGGCCATCCAGGGTTTCTTTGTGAAGTCTACTAACTTCTATGAAAGTTGGTTATGCATCTTCTTCTTTAATCAAGAAACTTCAGAACTTACAAGCTTATATAATTTTTCTAATATAAAATTTTTTTCTTATTTTTTTATAAAGTCAGATGTAGATTATACGGATTCCAGAGCCATTAAGAAAGTGAAGAAAGAATTCGAAAAATCGGATACTATTCTTAAGGAACTTAAAGATACAAATGCCAGTGTCACGAAGAATGGAACTGCTTCAACTGAAAAATCGAATACTAATCTTAAAGTACTCGAAGAAACTCTTCTAAAGTTTTTTAAGTCACGATCGAATTTCTCATTATCATCTGCATCTGAGGCAGTGTTACAAGCCGTTGCCGAATTATTATTACAAGAAAATGAAATTCCGGAATTGTCAGAATTGTGTTTAGTAATTGATAACAATAAACCAAAGAGAGATAGATAGTAGATTCGGTTTTGTTGATCTCATTTTTGGAGGCTTAAATCCTTCAGTAATAGAATTAAAATATATTAATCTCTCGGGGTTAATAAAAGCAACGAACAATAATTGGAATTCATATTCAAATACAAATGACTTAGTCTCTCTTGATAAATATATTGAAAATGAAGATGAAAAGACACTTTTAAAATGAAAATATATGTTTTGGTCAAAAAAAGATAACAAGCCAAATCTAACAACGTTAAATGATATTTTATTTTCTGCGGATGATCAACTTAAAAAATATATGAATGTAATTATACATGGACCAGCCCAAAATGGTAAACCAGGAATTATAGATTTTCGAATCCATATAAAACAACAACCTAAAGATTGTAGCATTTTAAACGGTTATGTTATTATGATGATTGGTTTTCGATGTCTTGTATCTAGATTTGTTGGATCTCAAAATATTCATTTTAGTTTTACTAAAAAAAATTAATTCTTGTTAGTTTAGTTCTATTCCGATCTATTCATTCTTATTAAATTTTGAAATAAAGAGAATTTTGCTGTTGAAAATTAATAAAAGATATTTGTTTTTTGATATTTTATTCTATCTAGAGTTAATACATCAAACCGGATTTAAAAATAAATCCGGATGGATGTATATTAAAATCCGGATTAAAGTTAAAATTTTGATGTAAATTAAAATCCGGATTTAACTATAAATCCTGATTTAATCCTGATTGCACATAATAAATACTTCCTGGAGTACTATCATTCAAATTTCGGTGATTTTAAAAGGGTTGAGAAGCGGGCATTTGTCAGGTTTTGTTTTTTATTATTATCTCAAATTTAATTACTAGTTATTTAAATTCTAACTTAAATCAATTTATTTAGGTGTCGCAATT